ATAATGTAGCGATTCAGTATTTAAACTGTTATTTAAAAAAGTCGTGGGGCAGCGTTGACAAGTATCTTGCTCCCGGATGTGTGAGCTGCGCGATCTCTGTGTGTGTGTGTGTGTGTCAGTAAGCAGCGCATTAATATAGAATGGTAATTAAAGGCTCACCAGTATAGGTGTGCGTAGGAGGTAGACGACGTATGATGACGTGTGACGGCATAGTAGTGGTGTCCCAATTCTTAGGGGAATATTTTCACCCCTACCCCTTGACACTCTGTTTCAAGGGACAAGGGGAAGGGGTAGGCAGAGGGGTAGGGGAAGGGGAAGCATATCGCAATAGAATTGGGATTGGGCCTAAGAGTCTCTGATCTGGTTTATGTTGGTGTATAGGAGAACCCTGCTGAGGAAGATGCTGCTGTGGTTGATAAAATCATGGCATCTCGTGTGGTGAAAAAAGAGGTAAGAGTTTCACAATCTTGTTTTCCTTGTTCTTGTTTGTCACAATCACAAAGTTGTTTTTCTTATTCATCTTTAGAGCTCATGAATTTTTTATTCAGGGAATTATGGCCCTGTTTGCACCTGGTATTACACATAATGTGCCTCACACACACACTTCCTGTGACCAGTTGTGATCAGATTTTGTCTCTAATTTTATGACTGTGTATTAGTGCTGTGCGATTAATCGAAATCGTCATAAAATCGCGATTTGAGCTTGTGTGATTAAAATCAAAATCGCAAAATTTATCAAAGAAATCGCGATAGGTTTTTTTTGTCCATATCGCACAGCCCTACTGTGTACATCACACTGGGGAAAAGCAACAGAAATCTTAGCACATAGCTGTTCTGAAATATACTGGAATTTTAATCTTGCCTCAAATGTGACATTTCAAACAGAATGCTCATAGTTTTAATCAGTATTAAACGGTAATATGTGTGCTTCACATTAATCTATTTATTAATTTGGTAAATGCTTCTATCCCAAGTGAGTTATCTGTGTCACTGAAACATGCTCTGTGAGGTCTGTAAATGTATGGGGCTTTTCCAGATTTCATTAGGAAACATTAGGGCAGTGATTAGATGCAGAGGTGACATAATCCTTTTTTCAACTACCTCTAAATGTGATTTCAGTTTTTCAGCCATAGAACATTTTGGACCAGTGTTTACACCTGTATTGAGCACTGACCGCTTGTGATAGGATCACTCGAAACAGATATTAATACCTGGTGTAAATGGGGTCTGTAATATTCAAACAGACATTAGACACATTTTAAATATGATTTCAATCATTATAGTGAAACAAATCTACACACTGTTCTTTATCAGCAGAGAATAAGTTAACTTAAATTAACTTTTATTGGAAAAAATGAACTATTTATTAATTATATTACTTATTATTTTTTATTCAAAAATGAAAAAAAAAACTAACTATCATTGATTATTTATCATTTATTTTAATAATATTGTATATTATATTTAATATGTGTATAATATTATATTATTTTTATTCTTCATTCAACAGGTTTCTCCTGGGGTGATGGTAGAAACCGAAGAGTATTACGTCAAGTACAAAAACTAGTAAGTCAATTAGGCACTGCTTTTGTCAGCTTTAACAGTTTTCTCTGTTAGTTTTCAAGCTGTAAAAAATTATGTTTTACATATTGCTAATAACCAGGAGCAGCTCAGAGAGCAATTTAGTCATGTGTTGGTGAGCACGCATAATTTCGCATATGTGTAAGGAGCATTCAGTAATTATGTAAACTTGTGTGTCTGTTGTAGCTCATATCTTCACTGTGAGTGGGCGACGGAGCAGCATTTAGAGAAAGACAAGAGGATCCAGCAGAAAATCAAGCGCTTCAAGATCAAACAGGCGCAGAAAGCACACTTCTTTGCTGATGTAAGAATGCCTGTGTTTGTTTGTAACTTCAGCAAACACTGTGTTCTCACAAAGAATATTTTGTATGATGCTTTTCGGGTTAAATGTCATGCCATTTAGTCATAATAATCACTGGGGAGACACACAGGATTTATGTGTAATTATTAATGATGTGTATGTGTGTGTTTAAGATGGAGGAGGAACCATTCAATCCTGACTATGTAGAAGTGGACAGAGTTCTCGAGGTCTCATACTGTGAGGACAAGGACACCGGAGAGGTAGCCATTGCTCTGTGAATTGTGTGTGTGAGTGCGGTTAGCACTCTCTCTGTTCCTGGCAGTGCATTTTGTGTAAGTCTCAAAACCTTCTTTTGTGTGCATGTGTAGCCGGTGGTGTATTACCTGGTGAAATGGTGCTCATTGCCGTATGAGGACAGCACATGGGAGCTGAAGGAAGATGTAGACCAGACTAAGATCAAAGAGTTCAAAAAGCTGCAGGCAGCAAAACCACACACCAACAGAGTGGTGAGACCGTCTCTCTCTTGCTCCCTCTAATACCATTGATATATTATATTATATTATTATATTACATTACATTATATTATATTACCATTCAAGCATGTTTTTTTTTATTAATAATTTCATCCAGCAAGTATCTATTAGCATTTCTATTCCAAATAATAAATAAATGTTTCTTAAGCAGCAAATCAGCATATTAGAATGATTTCTAAAGGATCAGCTGACACTGAAGACTAAAGTAATGGTTGCATTTTAAAATATATTAAAATAGAAAATAATTTTAAATTCCAATAATATTTCACAAAATTATTGTTTTTACTGTACTTTTGATCAAATAAAAGCAGCCTTGGTGAGCATAAGATATTATATTAATATTTAAATAATGTATTCATCATATATTCCTCTTTCTAATTGTAATTGCCTCTGAGCTCCAGGGACCTCTTTAACATGCCTAAAGTGTGCTTTACTGGATACATAATACTCACTTCTCCATCATTTGATGAATTTCTGTTGCCATAATCACTAGAAATTGTACACAAACTTCCCTTTTAGGATGTATCTATAATTTATATATAAAGGAGACATGTTTGCGCTGCAAAGTATTTAAATATGCATGTCGAATTTGTGTAGCAAAGCAAACAGTGCCTGGTTGAACTGTATTGCAGGTAGTTAGTGTGTATAATGCAAGTTTTGGTGCTTGAATACCATTTACTGAATCCACTTTCAGGAACGTCCACCGGCGAGTCACTGGAAGAAGCGGGGGCAGTCACGAGAGTATTGTAATGGAAACTGTCTCAGGGATTACCAGCTGGAGGGGGTCAACTGGCTTCTCTTCAACTGGTACAACAGGTAAGTGAATGCTCAGCCCTGACCCAGGGATTCTTCCTCTTTAACCTTCCCCATATATGTCAATAAAACTACTGAGTGGTACAGCATCATATGGTGTACTTTAGGCTTGCTGCGATAGTCGTGTTACCGGTGTTAAGCCGCAATACTGGTTACGTCACTTGACCACCACGGCACCGCCCACCACCGTCGTTTTGATTTTCTTATAGTAATAAAAATCATTTAGTTCAGTTAAGAGAACAGACACTACAAATATAAACTGAACTGAAACTCAATGCAGCGTGCTGAACGACAGTCGCATCACAGATCAGCAGCAGCAGGAGAGTGAGTCGAGCTGACTGACAAGAAGTGTGAGGTGAGACAGACAAGACGATGGTGGAAGATTTAGTTTCAAAACGAAATGCAAAAGCACCTGTTTGGCGATATTTTGGATTTTGAAAAGCCTGTTGACTTTTGCTGTTTATCTAAGGTGATTTTGGAAGTTTTTTTTAATATTCGTTTCTTATTTATTTGGTTCCACAGCGTTTGCTGATTTTTACTTTATTTAAACTTTGTGTAATTTATTTATTTTATTTTACATCAAGGTGTGTATGTTGTGCCTCCAACTTCTTATTCATTTTGCTAATAAACGTTCTATAGCCTATTTCTTATTTATTTGGTTCCACAGTGTTTGCTGATTTTCATTTTTTTATTTTTATTTTTTTTTACTTAAGTAACTTTTGTGTAAGTTATTTGTTATTTTATATTAGGCCTATAGCATGGTGTATTTTTATTTGTTTTGTTAACAAAAGTTCTATGTTTAATATAAGTGAGTTTGTCGTTGTCCATTCAAGCAATTGATGCTGAATTGCCGCTAATTTGAAAGTGAAAGTAAAATGCGCACAGGCATTTAGAAGCTATTTAAAGGCGAAGGAAAGTGAGGAAAAAAGGGAAAACGGCAACTCCCCCCATCGATGATACCGGTATTACCGGTGTTGTTACACGTTGATCAACCGGTGTGAAAATTTAATCACCGTCACAACCCTAGTGTACTTTTCATCGTGGGCTAATGGCTGCATGGCTTTTCTTATACACTTTGTGTCCTTGTTCTTTTGCTTGCTTTCTATGTATAGATAGATCATTGAATGAAGAGCTGTGTGCATTGAGTGTGGTGGAAAGCTAATCTACCATTCAGACTTCAGACAGCATTGAGAGCATCAATGAGATGCTCATAATGAATGAATTAAATAACTTTAAATTCCAGCGACTCATCTGGCTGATGCTTTTGTACAAATGCAACTTGCAAACCTAATTTGAACGTCATTAAGTGTTACTATAATGTAATAGCTGAATTCCCAGCCTTTTCTGTGTTTTGTCATTATTCTGGGCATGCTGACGCTCACTGTTGTATTACGTGTGACTGTGTTTGTGCCGTAGCACTACATTTCAACAGGAATTGTGTCAAGAAGGGTTAATATTGTGATTTTTGCTATTTTTTTTATTTAATTTTTGAATCAATTTTACACCTACTCTTATAATTTAACCTGGTATCTTGTGTGTGGGAATATTAAAAAAGCAAATATGTAAAAAAGGGTACTCTGATGCCCCTCTGTCTCAATTTGCAGGCGTAACTGTATTCTGGCAGATGAGATGGGTCTGGGAAAAACCATCCAGTCCATTACGTTTCTGGATGAGATCTGTCGCATAGGGATCAAGGGGCCTTTCCTCATCATCGCCCCTCTCTCTACCATCGCTAACTGGGAGAGAGAGTTCAGAACCTGGATGAACCTCAACGTCATCGTGTACCATGGCAGTGTGGTCAGCAGACAGATGCTCCAGCAGTATGAGATGCACTTCAGAGATGCTCAGGTGAGATCTCACACCCACACACACACAGCAGAGGAAGGTCAGCCTCGCATTGATCTAGACCTCTTAACTGTAATTCAAGGCTTTTGAATTGGTTACCTATTAGTATCATGTTTTGTAAAGGAGAAAGATAGAGGGGAAAAAAGCAAGCCACAACTCAATTATGGTTATTTTATTCCTTTTCAAACTAAATGTAATTGTGAAGTTGGCAGAGTGTATCTCTGAGAAAGTCCATATAGTGATGCTTGATATGCAAATAATCGAACATCACTGTTATGGCTGGGTGGTATTTCAGTATATACCTCATAATGGTAGAAATATAACTGGTAGGAAATTTGATATACCACTAATGCCACAGTGGATATATTTGCATAACTACCAGTGAAGATCAAGTAATATGATGAAGAAATAATAGATGGAATAGATGGAGAAACATTGCAAACTGTTGCATTAATATAGAATTTAACTGTTGGGTCAGCGTTTTTTATATCAGCTTTTTCACAACAGCTACTGCTCATCCGGTCAGAATTTATATTGTAAATAATGTAATCCTTTGTAATATTAATTTTATAAAACTAAGACTAAAACTTTAGTTTGCATCATTCCATTTTATAAAATTGGTGTTACCATGTGGTTTGCATCCATCAAGTTTAGGGATGTAACGTTTACCGGTTTGACGATAAATCATGATAAAATTCCCCACGGTTAGTATTACCGTTTCATCTTTTAATTATCATTAAAACCGTATTAGATTACCGCGATTTGAACAACTCGCGAAAAATAAATACTATCCAGCATAAAACAGTTTTAAGTAACAGTCTCACGTGCACACAGCACGCAGAGTAGTTTCGTTTTGAGTGAAAACAGGGCGGAAAAGCTGGGAGGTTTTAAAAGAGTGCTAAGGGAATTATACAAATGAATATATGAATGAATTAATTATACGAATGTACCTCTGAAGGTTCTGACTGTCTTCAGAAACGATTCGATGGC